GCCTTGGGGTCCTCAAGATAATTATAGGACCATGTGTGCCAAAGCCTTGTTCTAATTATTCACGCCCCGACACGAATGATTATTTTTCCCTTCAGTCAGTGTTTCCTTCGGTTTTCTATTCGTCTAGAGTTTCTAAAAGGCATAAACCCTCCTCGTTGTGAGGATTTCCCTAAAATAGCGAAGCCCTAATCCTAAGCCCCTTCCAACTGCGGCTAGCACCTGCAAAGTCCTACACCGTAGACCCTAAACCCCTAAAGCCTTAAACCCTAAACCCTAAGCCTAAAACCGAAAACCCTTTAAGTAGCCCATGTGTCGCGGTTAGGAGGTTGGGCTCAGATCCCGACACTCTAAACGACACCCCGAGCGCGGCCGGGTTTCTAGGTTAGTGTATGGGAAACGTAGGGCTTTAAGGTTTAGGGTTTAGGGACCCTACCCTAAACCCTGAACCCTAAACCCTAAACCCTAGTTATAAAATCCCAAGCCCCGGCCCTAGACACAGCTTCGAGTCGGTTCGAGGCTTTGACTTCACGCATGTCTGACATACCTCCGACTCTGCTCGTGACCCTAAGGTTGAGTCACCATTTTGCTTTGTCGTCACAGCCGCGTCGTACCCTATAAACCCTAAACTCTAAACCCTAGACCCTAAACCCTAAACCCTACACCCTACACCCTAAACCTAAACCCTAAACCGCATTTGCATCTTCGCGCACTTCGGAGCTGCACGCGCGCATGCTTCAACGGAACGCCGTTCACTCAGACGAATGGCGGATTGACAGCCACTGAAGTCAGCAATTACTTGAGCGGGAAGTAAGGTACGGGCCTTAATAATTACCCATATTGTTTTGGGACCTCCTTATTATAAGTATAGTATTATGGGCCCCCAAACCCTATTCTAATTATTACGGCCCCTACATTACCGGCTTCAAGCTCTTGGTGATACGTTCGCTGACCTCGGGAAATCGCCGAATCGCTCGCAACATGCGGATGCAAGTCCAACCCTTAGCATCAAAATAGCCCAGAAGCCTTTTGTTTGTAATAGGGTGTTTGGGCCCAAAAGATTTGCAATATGAGTCCTTTGAGGGTAACGGCAACAGTTTCAGAGCCTGCTCAGAGCATTCGACTACTTCTAGACGCGGGACTCTGGTATCATCTTGAGTAGGTCCTATCGCGAGGATTTAGCCAATTTGAGAGCCCTCTCCGGAATATGATAACCCCCCTGGCCAAACCGAAAATACCGCAAAGGACGACAGGACATCAAGAGGTCCATGACCTTACATCCAAAACCCTCAATTTCCAGACCCTACATCAGCAGCTTCCAGACAGACCTAAGCCACGGGATTCATGGTGCTCCTGCCAGGAACCTTTACGAATGAGACGGGTATGTCCAACTGTGCGCCACCTACTTAGGGTTCTGGGTCTACCTCGACCCTTTAAAGCCTAAACTTTTGGGCCTTTCGGAGTTCCTTCTGCTGATTTCCTTAAAGTTGTTCAAAAAGGTATATAGGTTGTTTGGGTTAAGGTACTGTCTAGGGCCTGGGGTACATGCACGGTAGTTTTAATTACTTGTGGCTATACTAACTTAGAGACTTTTATACTACATTCATTTTCATCATTAAGAGGTGGTCGCCTACTATTGGTGTAGGCTTTGGGGCTAAGTGCTGGTAGGGTTACAAGTAAGCCACTATAACTATCTTTACTTGGAAACTGAAGTGCTCAACCCTATCAGACACCACACCCTAAACCCTAAAATCGAATCGTTAAAGCCTGAAGCTCCAGCTCGACCTCTAGTTATGCAAGGTTTAGGGTTTAGGGTACTTGCTCAGCTCTCAACCCGTCACCACTTTGCTCTAGCTGCGCATTGATGAACTTCAACTGGGAGTGCCACAGTTTCGGGCTTCAGGGCAGTGCGGGCTTGGATTCAGGGCTTTAGAGTTTAGGCGTTCAGGCATTCGGGCTTTGCAGGTTTTTGGGGCTTAGGGGATTTTGAGAGTTTAGCGCTTTGGGCCGGGTAGATACAGCAGTTATCGTGCAAGTTTTCGCTCAGGGCTTGCCTTTACTTTGGTCTCGTATACTCTTAGCTCAAAGGGCAATTGCAACATACCTCTTGCGACAAGATGGGTTCAACGATTGTTTCCAGGGCCGCTAGCATTGATACTAAAACCATCATGCTTAATTTCGTTTTTTAATCATGGTGACCTTCTGTTCTCAACTGTTGTGTTCACAACCGCCGCTTCATTCGTTGTTCCTTGCTATGATTTCAGTTGTTTTTTCATGCGTTTAGTCTTGGTCACGATAATTACTTCTTTCCACGGTCAGTGCCATCGTAAGGGGGCCTGTTTGCTTTGGTCTGGGGCTTGGGATCCACGGCATGGGTTTTCGGGGTTCCTGGGCTCCCGGGCGACGAGGCAAGCCCCTTGCAAAAGGGGTCATTATGCTCTCTAGCCCGGAATGCACAATGCATCAGAAGATAATCTACGCATGCGAAGATCTTGCTGAGGGTCAACTCGAATCCAGCGGGTTACTGCGGAGGTACAGCCTGCGATGTCGGGCGCTTCTCGTCAAAAGTGGCCTCGAGAGCCCAAGCAGCATTTAAACCCTAAGCCCGAAACCCTAAACCCTGGACCCTAAACCCTAAACCCTGAACCTTAAACCCTAAATTCCCTAAATCCCCTAAATCCCTAAACCCTTGTCTGGAACAATCTCGTTTTTCCACTAGTATCTGCCTGGTGCTTTTGTCAAACCTACCCGTTTTGCTAGTTTAGGGTTTAGGGTTTAGAGCTGTAGTTCCTTTTTGAGGTCACGTCATTATATAATGGGTTAAACCAAAAGAAGGAAAACAACGGAGACTGTAGGTATGTTCTTGCAGGAAGAACTCCCAGCCTCACTTTCGTAAGTTCCTTCAGACACCGCTTCCGTACCTACCCTAATAACCCAAACCCTAAACTCAGATTCTTTTACCCTGAACCTTCAAGCCTTCAAATCATGTAGGGGTTTCATAATAAGGATCCTACTATTTAGGGTTTAGGGTTTAGGATCGGAATAATGTAGGGGCCAAAATAACACCAATACTATTTTGGGGGTTCCTTTTTGAAAATATAGTATCAGAGGCTTCGAAACCCTATTCCAATTTACATGAACCCAAGCTCTTGTTCTTACTGCTGCCTTGCTTGTTGTACCCTTTAGAGTCAAAGGTTTAGGGTTTCCAACTGCGCAGCCCAAAACCCTGAACCCAAAATCCTGAACCCCCAGCCCAAAACCCTAAACCCTAAACCCTAAACCCTAAACCAATTCCGAGGCGGTTGCCTCGTATGCAACCCTGGCACCCACGCGAACCGCACGGGCCTTGCCCTGTGCGACAAGTGCCCAAAAGGCTCGGCACATCAAGCTTTCAGCGGTTTCAAGGGTTTTGGTGTTAACCCTAAACCCTAAACCCTAAACCCTAAACCGTTAAGGGTTGGGTTTGGGGAGGGTCTAGGTTTTCAGGTGAGAGGGTTGGGTTTAGGGTGTGCTTGGATCTTTGCGAAGAGCCCGGCACTCTTTCAAGATAATATAGGGCTCTGGGGTATATTCTACTGTAATTATAATAAGGAGCCCCCCAAATCCTGGTCTAATTATTAAGGCCCCTACATTAGGCATGCTTGCCCAGCTATGGAGGTTCAGAAGCATTTCACGTTTACGGGGATCTTTGGGTTCAATCCACTAGGTCGCTAGCTGCCGCTGAAACCCTCCCTGAACCCTAAAACCCCAAACTCTAAGCTCTAAACCCTAAACTCTGCACCCTAAGCCGTAAACCCTAAACCATAAAGACCCTAAGTTCTAAGCTCTAAACCCTAAACTCTGAACCCTAAGCCCTAACCTAAACCCTAAAGGCCCTAAACCCTAAGCCCTAAACCCTAAAGTTTAAGCCCTAAGCCCTAAGCCATAAAGACCCTAAGCCCGAAGCCCTAAACCCTAAACCTACTAATGTCAGCCACGTGTGCTGGGGTTTGGGTTCGGTCAGAGATCTTGAATCTCAGTTCTGATGGAGCTTGAACTGCTTGGATCGGGCCGATCGGGCTCGGTGTAGGTGTGCCGCTGACGACAGTATGCAACCGTCACAGCGGCAGCTTCCAACGAACATGGCCCAGCATCCTGTCGAATATCGGGTGGTCTTGAGCCAAGTAGATGCAACGTTACAAGCTAGAGTCATACCGGTCATACCGTCATAACTCCTCGTGACACATTGTTCATTACCGAAAGAATTTAAGCAGTTGCAATGGCCCACAGCGGATCTGCATGCGTGTTGCGATGTGGCAGCACGGAAACTTTGTCTTCGTCGTCCAGCTCAGCTACCAGCCACACAGTTCGCGGGTGGCAAAACCCACGTTTGGCCACCAAAATCATTTGGTGTTTCCTCAGAGAAAACTGGTCTGGGACGTGCCTCGGCTGATTTCGCTTGTCTTCCGCTTGCGCTCGCCAGTCACTGCCCTGGCCGATCCGAGGCACTACTCCGAGATGCACATTATCAGATGTGGGGATTCTGCAGAAAGTCACGAGCTGTTGTTCGAGGGGCTTTTGAACCCCAAGCTAGGAGTTAACACTGTGATCCAGGGCCGCAACCAGATGGCCAAAATATCACACCCAGACCAATGCATGATTCAAAGTCAGCTTGCCCCTTGCATGCAGCTTGTACAGATTTGTTGCATGTGTACATGGAGATCCCCCCTTGGTGTATTGCATGCCTCAGGACACGATCACTGCAGGAGGAAAAACGCTCGCCTCTTTGGAGGAGTCTTTCGGAAAGATACCTTGGCAAGACGGACTGGTCAGAGTTGCGGTACGGGTAACTCAAGCCGACATCCGGGCGTCCAAACAAGTTGCTGTCCGCTCATCGTCTCGCAAGTTCACTAGCGTTAACCTGCCTTGGCTGGTTTCTGAGGTCGCTGGATCTCAGATAACACCCGCGTGCAAAACAGTTAGAGATGGGACTCAGGCAGACGCTTCCTTGATTGGTGCTGTAGATGCACTGTTTGCCGAGATTTTGGAACGCATTTCGACGGGAGAGTTGGAGCCTGCGGCAGCGAGTGTGCGACGTCTCAAATCGTTGCTGGTGTTCACGTCAGGGCGTCAATCACGAACGAAAGGAGGTAGGGGTTTGTCGTGCATCTGATTTTCGGGGTCTAGTTTCACACAAATGGGAATTTGTTCAGACGTGCCCCTGCAGGTTGGCAGTATGCTGCTGACTACATGCTTCACACAGTGTTGCTGGCTGATTGCCTTCGGCCTCTACAGCACGAGGACCCAATGGGACCAGCAGTTCGAAGGCAGGCGGGGAGTGTTGGGGCTGATGATGTGTGTAGCAGACCTGAATTGATACTGTTTTGATGCTGTGGCAGCGCGGCCCCTTGAGCCAAGGTGCTTGAAAATGGTTTTGCAGCCGGACGTTGCCGAGCATCTTTTGCAGGGCGACACTTCGCTGCAGATAGAGGGAGTTCCACGGACGTCGCGAAGTCCTTGCGTAGTAGTGTTTCCGGCTTGGTGTCGATGCAAATAGAAGCTGGCCTGTGGCAGATCAGCTCAGAACTTGTTGCTCCCCCAGCGCACATCGATTTATGGGTTCCGAATCAAAATGGACCTGTGTACAATGTTGTTTCCTGGCCTGCACATGGAGAGAAATTGAGACAAACACTTGTGATATTTTTGTTTAACGTCGCCTGTGCAGGTTTGCCAGAGAGTACGTCTATGGGGATGGCGGTGATTGGGTCATGCATGTGCGTGTCGATTCTTCACCCCAGTTCAACCGGGATTACCTGGTATCAGAAGTGGATGTGGTTAGCTTGGACAAGACATTCTCCAGTGAATTGGACACCGTGATGCAGGATGTCGGCTTCACCACGCGTATCATGCCTCTCCAGGTTCTTGGCCGAAGGGCCACAAACACTGCTTACAAGTACAGGGCCTTACTCAGGGCTTTGAGGCTTGAAGTTGGAAGTGAGGATTTGATCAAAGCCAGGACGTTCAGCATGTTGCATGACATGGGGGTCGAGTCGAAATTGGCCATGGTTCCTGGGTTCAGTTCGGACTGTGATGATCGCTGGTTCAACAAAGCATTGCCCTTGCACGATCTGGACCACGGCTTGCACAATGTAATGCTGGAGCTGAGCGAGTGTTGGGAAGTTGATTTCTACAGTGCATGGGAGCGGCAGTTGAACACGATGGCTAAACATTTCAGCAAAGCAGACAACAATGAGCGCTTCGTGAAACAATGTATTTGGGATAATCCTAAGATCGAAGGGTACGCCCGAAAGAAAGCGATTGCAGGAATGTTCAAAAGCACTTGCCCAACGCTTGTTCCGCATCGCTGGCAGTATATGCACGATGTTCTCTTGTGGGTCACCGATCGCAGAAAGTTTCTCATGTACTTGGACCCCCATGTTGTGTCCAGCAGAGAGAATAGTGAGGGCCGGTCAGGGCAATCTGACGATGTCATATCCGACATGGAGGCGGCTGCGTTCAAGCTGCTGTACACTGACAAGCTTGTTTCTGCTACTTTCTGGGCGATGTGTGCAGTCATGCTTATCTTGTGCAAGTGGGGTCACACCGTCGTTGGCTGGCTACATGGTTGCTGGTGTCATCCAACCCAAGATGACAGAGCCAAGTTCCGGAAAAAGAATAAAGGTGCTAACTGCAAATGGTCCGGCAGGCGGCTGATTGAACTGTCGTGCGGCAGTGCTTTGGAGTTCATGGCTGACTTACGCTCGTTGAGAATTGAGAACTCGTCCCTCGCTATGGAGTCGATGGGCCTCCTGGTAAAGGAGCAGCAGAAAGGTTCGGGAGCTTCAGCGGCTGCAGGGCCTGATTCGGCTTCGGACATTATTTCGGTGGGGTTTGTCACGGCGAAGAGGATGCTTGAATCCCGATTCTCGCAGCTGACATCTTTTGTTCGGGAGCCACCTTGGAATTTGATCAGTCTGTTGCAGTTTCTCATCGTGCCTGCGTCTGTCCGTTCCGGTGCGGTTGTAGAAAGCCGCCAAATTGCAGCAACAATGCTCCAGAAATTTGATCAGGGAAAATTCGGAGATGTCGGTGACATTGGACGTCGTTTTCTTCAAACCACCCACCGATCGGCGTTGAAGCGCTGGGCATATTCCCAAGACAAGTTCATGGATTTGCCCTTGTTCAGGTCGCTGCTGGCTTATGCCTCCAGCCTGAATGTCATGCAGCGGCTGGAAGCAAAGCACCACCTGGTTCAGGCCGGTGCAGTTGTTGAATTGTGAGAGACCTCAGAACATGCAATTTACCTGCATTTCTGCTTTAACACATCTGTCGATTTGTGGCTGTTTGCCCAGGTTCGGATGTGTTCAGCGAGAGCCCTGGGCGTGGCACACCTTTCTGCAAACATACGACGCGCTCTGAACGGTGATCTGGAGCGACCGGAGTTTGAACGAAATCTGGATAGATATCTTTCCAGCTTCTCAAGTATTGTGCAAGAAGAATGGGGTTCATTCAAAGAGCTGCAGTCTTTCACGACCGGACACAATTTGCAAATCATGTTTGCCGATCGCTCACCGGAAATGCAGATGATTGCTGCTGCGAGCAAAGATACCACCGAGGATGATCCTTCTTTTCGTGACAAGTTGGATCATGTCATGAGCCTCATGCGCAAGTCCGGGCATTATTGCATGCCTTGCTTGCAGCAAAGTAATCCCAACGTCACACAGTATGTGTGTTTTCAGTTATTGGGTTTTCGTCCAAGCAACAAGAAGTACATGCAGAGGCTTACAAACTGGGGACGAACCGTTGGCACGGTCAGCTTGCGTGTGCGGTCTTGGGGTCGTTCAGCGTAGACAATCCATGTGTTTGTTTGGAAGATGGCGAGAGGGTGGACCCCCCAACAGTTGATGCTGCCAGAGTGGTCCGGTCACAAACTTGCAGTGTTCAGACGATTCCACTGGAGTCTTTTTTTAGGAACAACAACATCGATCACCTTCATGAGTTCCATGTTGTGGAGCACCGGGTCGATTTCGACACGGAAATGGTAGATGACATGCTGTCTGACGAGACCGAGTCTCATGACTTGGCCCTCACGAGTCTTGCCTGTTGTGAGCTGAACCCTGCCGACAGTGCGAGCCTCCTTGTGTAATCGAGTTTTCAATCTGCTGTTTCTCAGGACTGCCATATGCCATCTTGGCAAAAAGGCTGTGCAGACAGGACTGCCGCTGAGTGTTCCACAGTCACATCAGAGTGCTGCTGATTGGATCGTGGAGCACGAACTCGGCGAGTACAACGACCGCCGGCAGCTAGTGGTGCAATCGCTTGCGATGAGCTTTGAAACGCATTTATCAGCTGTCAGGCCGCTTGATGAGCCGGGTGATTTAATCGACCATAGCTTGTGGTCGCTGCGTCGTCAGCTTCGGTCGCAGGGTTGGTGTGAAGCTGAGAAAGGAAAGAGACTGTCAGCCGCACAGAAATACTTCTCCGGGAGCAACAGGGCGCCCAGCTACTATGTCATCTTGATTGAATGAAACTCAGCTGAAGGGCTTGTCCAGCGGTATCTGGAGTTTGGAATAGAGTCTTGGACTAGGCTTGGGCATCTTTTTGCATCCCAGGTCTGCAGCAAGCCGCAAGTTACGAAGAGAACTTGAACTTTGCTCATTCTGGTCTGCGTGCCTATTTTGACACGGTGCTGCTTGCAATGCGAATGCGATCGCCCGCTACTTTCATGGTTCCAAGAGCGATGAATGCAAAGGGATATGAAGCCTTGGCACAGTTTTTGCAAGGCCACACAAGCCGAAGTTACTAACGCGTGCACCGTGATGTCTTGTTTCGATATAAATGTTTGGTTGTCGTTCGATTGTGTGAGGCGGGTGCTGTGGAGCCGACCCACGCCAAGATGAGACTTGTTATCACAAAGGGAAGCGTGCCCGGCGACCTCGTGCACACTCCATTCCTCCACGCAAGATTCGCAAAACTACCGCTGCTGCGCCCGAGGTCTTGTCTCAACACGGCAGTTCGGGCGACCTAATGGTCGTTTCGTCTAGCGAAGAGGATATGGAGGATCACAATATCTTCGATGCTGAAGATGATGATGATGATCAGATTCCGCCAGAATGGTTGGAGGAGTCACGTGCCAACGAGGGTTGTTGACGACGTTGCGATGCATCCAGACACGGGCGTTGGCAGTGGTCCCTCGGCTGACGGGGAGTCCCAGCATGATGCTGGTAACGCTGGGAAGCCCGAGAGTGTCCCTGCGCCCTTCTTTGAGCCTCGATGCCGCACTGACGGGCATCGTGCGGTCTGTGAAATCCTGCTACCGGTGCTGCTCGAACTCATGCGGGAGCCTGCGTGGTGTGCTAAAGTTCCTCGCGAACAAGTCCGCCAGGCTGCTCACCGTCGCTTGGTCAGCACTTGTTCGGCGCGTTGCCGGGAGTGAAGGGTCCTTGCAAGCCAAAGACCTGGCTGCTGAGATTCTGAGGCGTTGATATGAGCGGTCGGCGGTTCTGGGGAGTGCATCAGCTTTACTCGCGCAAGCGGACTGCAGAAGACGTTGAAACTTGTCGTCAATTGCAGGCTTGAAGATGTGGGTTTGGTCTTCGGATGTTGTGTGGGCGTTTGTTGCTACAGCGTGCAGCATGCAAGGTCTTGACTTGGTATTACGACGCTGTCAAGAGACTGTGTTGACGTGGCCAGCCGGATCTTCATGTTTGGAGCGATGCATGCAGTGTTCACAGGGTAACGGTGCAAAAGAACAGAGCCCCGGGTGAGACTGCGCAAACATTAGGGACAGAGTCAGAGATTGAGAGCTCATGCGATGCATCCGGACAGCATGCCTTCTGGCGTATGTCGCGAGCTTGCTCGAGTGTACCTTGAACATGGACTCTAGAATCTAGAATGTAGGACAGAAAACTCTGGGCAGAGGTGATGTGTAAGTAGTGTGTGTGTGTGTGTTCGAAAGGCACACTTGTGTATCTTTATACAACTTGTAAAAATCCGAAGTTCGCTTAACCTCCGGTGTGATGAATACATGATGTAGGTTCAACGTAGACCACGCAGTGCCCATGGATTTGGCAGCAGCTGTTTTTGACTTTGATCAGGCGTGTGAATCCCTGGTCCGTAAAACTAAAGTGAGCCCATGCACAGACTGTGCAACAGATGCTGGCAGCAAGCGGAGAAAGTCTTCAAGTACACCGGATGCTCTGAAAATCTGGGCCTGGGCACAGCGACTCCTTGATGTATTTCAGGAAGACGGCACGTTCTGTAAGTACGAGACCGTCAATGTCTTTACAGAGTTCACTGGCAGTGCCTGCGCTGAGAGTGCAGTGGAGTCGGTAATCAATCATCTGCGTGGTGCGGTGCCGAATCTGCATTTCGTGTCCATGGCGGACATCAAACCTCAATGCAGGGCGGTGTGTATGCAGACACGTCGGGGCCTGAGGAGGCCAGAACACATGCGGAGACCCCCTGTCCTTCCGGACCGAAGGAAGATGTGGTTCGGGGGCTGTGGGCTGGGGTTTTAATGTGTACGTTGGGTACTGCTCCCACTCAGTAACAGTTGGATAATACTTATATTATGGATATATTAGGCCCTGAATAGTAGCCCTATTGTAGACTGCTACTGCGTGGGGGCAGTACCCAATGTGTAGGATTTAATAGTCTGGGTTTAGGGTTCAAGTTTAACGCTTGTACTTGTACAGTGTTTAGGGATCCTGATCAAGGGGGAATTGCAGTTTAAAGGTGCAGGGTTCACATTTTGCGGATTGGGGGTTTAAAGGTGTAGGGCTTTGGGTTGCAGTTGCCAATTGTTAGTGTAGGTCACGTGGCAACGACTAAGATCCCGATGTTTGCTGCTTTGGCAATATTCTTGACTTACTGCCTGGTGAAGTTCGTGGAAAGATAGATGCCAGAGTCTTGGAACATGCCGCTCGGCTCAGCTTGCGTAGGCTGAACACAACTGCAAAGCCCAATACACTGATAAGGAGAGACAGAGCGGCATCATGATGATGATGGTAATGATGGGGAGATGACCGTGATGGTGACCATGGTGATAACTCTCACTCTCTCTCTCTCTCTCTCTGTCTCTGTGTCTGTGTCCCAATCTCTGAGGGCTTTGGGTTGTTGTAGGTTTTTGTTGGGGTGGGTTTGCTTGGTTGGAGCCAGGACGTTAGAGCCGAAATATTTCATTTTCGGCTCCAAC